ATTTTAGATGACTCGTGTAAGGGAACTAAAACGACGTCGAGGACAACGTATCGTGAGTTCCATATTACGTTTTGCTGCAGAAGTTTCATTCTTGTGGCATGCAAAATTTTCTCCTCGTTTTCAGTTGTCTTATCTGATTGTTTACTACCGTTTTTTGTTTGTTCGTGACACCACATGAGGAAGTTACAAGTAGCCATTTCTCGTAGGAAAAAGAATTCCTCGTTTCATACGGTTTCATTGAAGAAGTAATTAGATTAACTGTTTTCACGATTCCTAAAGAGAAATTTGAAAAATTTTTGTATTGAAGTTCTCATCAACTTTACCAATCACGAAGTTGTCAAATATGTGTAGAAGTTTTTGTTTTCCGTCTTTGGCATTCTGTACTACAGAGTCAGCTCCCCGTTTTAGACGGATCATCCATCAGCTGGTTTGTCAAATGTTTGGAAGAAAATGATTTCAACGCAAAGGAAGCGAGCAGTTGTGGCATGCTTCAGGATGGTCCCTTTGTACGGCATTCCAAGGTAACCAGTAGAATTTATGTTACTGTGTAGTACGTAGTTGTTAAGTTTTCGTTCTGCTGCTTCTTGATTGTATCATTTTTGTCTCTGAGGTGGAGTGCTTTGTGGACCAGTGCATCTGCAGATAGGTTGTGATTGGAAATTGCTCGTGCTTGGTGAATTTTAACTGCCCTAACTGCTTTCTTCTCAGGTATTTAGGCGTTGTAAATCTGTGGAAAACCCTGCTTTTTACATTAATGCATGATTTCTGTACTTCTTTAACCTTCCTCCTGGCCAGTATATAATGTCAACTGCTGTCGTTAAATTAATACGTCATTTAACAAGTAGCAGAAATTATATTTTACGCATTTAATATTTGAAACTTTTGAACCAAGTGAGTATTTTTTAGACAAAATTGTTTTTGTTGAACATTGCTGGTTTTTAAGCACCACACAAAATTGAGCTGCTGTAGTTAGAAGCAAATACTTTTTTGTAATGTTCTTCGAAAATATCAATTAGTAAGCATTTTTTTGTAGAAGGTAGTTATTTTAATAGCATTTTTGAAATTAATTTTAAAAAGTTTTTCACATTTATCTTTCTCACTGCTTTACTCTGATAGTTAATTAACTGTCTGATAAGTGGAGGATTTTTTATGTGCCCACCTTTTTTTTTGAATCTTTTTCAACAACAGGTTACAAGTCGACTGGAAAAAGAGGACCGCTGGAAGAAGGTCCTCACCTTACAGAGGAAACGAATGGCTATCAGTCTAATAACAGCAAGCCATTTGTACAGAGTTGAGAAGTAAGTGAAGCTCTTGTCGGATTTGAAAATAATTTTTGATTGCATGGGCTCTGTCGCTTCTTATCTTGCCAAATTTCATTTCCTGTTCTTGTTTTTGATCATGCCTTGCGTCATTCATTATAAAGCACTTGCAACTTAATATATAGTAGTAATAATAACAAAGACAATAATAATAAATATCACTAAATATCACTGTCATTATAGTCATAATTATCATTACAGCAATAATAGTAGTCATGATAGTGGCAGTAGTAACAATAACAGCAGCAATAATGATAATGACAGTAATAGTAGTATTAATGGTAATAATAGTAGTAATAACATTAATAATGATAACAATAATAATAATAATAATAATAATAATAATGGTAATAGTAATAATAATCATAATAATAATAATAGTAATATTAATAGTTATGTAAGTAATATTCATCGGCCAAAAATGTGCTAGTTAAGCCTTGTAAAGCTTTTATTTTTTAACATGTGGGTTCCGCTTGTTTTAGAAGAGTGGAATTGACGCTATGAAACCGAAAATCTGCGTTAACTTTGTCGTTGTAGATTTATTCCTTTGGGCTGTTCTGTGGCTAGAGGCAAAGAAGTGAGCAACTTATTTTAGGCATCGCGGCATCAATTTCTTTTTACCGGCTTTTAGCAAATTGTGGCTAGAGGAAGAAGCTGTTGGTCAAGAGGCCTTAATTACCGAACTGACAGTAATTTTTTATAACAGAAAATGTTGAAAGCTGTATTAATGGTCCACTGTTTTTATTTGGCTTAATTCGCCAATGAACTGAACAGCTTCTAGAACTTTTCGTATTTTTTGCCGCTACGCGTATGCTCAAATAATTGTTTTTGTCTCTTTTCTAGACGCAAGCAGAGCAGTCAGAGGAGAACAGGAGGTGGAAGATTCCTGATGACGATGTATTAGTACTTGAAGAAGTAGCCGATGATAAGTATAATTTACAATATTTTACGCCTTTGATTTACTCTGCAGCAGACTAATTAGTATACCGTATTCTTTAGCCAGTTTTTCTGTTTTTGTTATGTTCTGTTTTCTGAGCTGAGGTTATTAAGGCAGCAGCGACCGCCAGATCCTTTGTCTCAATTAATTCAGTGCTTCCAACGCGCAGCAACAAGCGAGGAAAGTGAGGCCTCTCTACTTGCCAATGATGCACTGTTCATCAATTATGCACGTGTTATGTACAAATCTATTCATGTAGAAGAAGAGGATGACGGTGGAGATGATGAAAGTGAAATTGATCAAGCCGTAAATTTTTTAATTTTCATCATAGTTTGATATAAAAAGTCACTAATTATATGGACGACACAACAGTCTAAAAAATTAGAATTGTGTATGTTATGAAAATGTCGTATTAATTTTTTCAAACTTTCTAGACAAGGAATAAATTATAGTTAGTCGGTAAAACTATAAAGTGACTCAGAATTGATGACAGCGGATGCAAAATCTTGAGTGTGCTTTGATTTATATTGCCTAGTTGCAGGAGAAGGAAGAAAAGTCACAAGCACTTCGTGCTGAACAAACGGTGCTTGCCGACAGAGGAGCCGCTATTATGTGCCTCATGTACTTATCTGCTTGTAATGGTGAACCTAGCGAGATGGTAGCAGAGACGCTACAGCTGGGAATACATCTTCTGAGTGGTGGTAACAGCGATATTCAAAAAGTATCTCATTTTTCTGAGTTTTTTTACAAAATACTTGACTAGGTTTCTTACAGTAAGGATTTTGAAGAAAAGCGTGTTCCTGCTTTTTCTATGTCACAGCTGTACGCGTTTTTTCCGAAATTTGCTTTAGATGCTTATTGATTACTTGCAATCAAAAAAGGACGTGCGTTTTTTTACATCAGTTGCTGGGTTAATGAATAAGTGCAGTGTTCTGAACCTTGAAATGTTCGAGCGCCAGATCAAGGTTTTCTTTTTGGAACGATTTTTAATGGAACATAAAGCCGCTTTTGTGCAAAATTTTGATTGGATGGGTTTTACTTTCACTGTTTTAAAGGCAGAAGGCCTTGGTATGGGCGCTGAACTCGCAGCAGGTGACAATCAGAATTTGAACGATGCAGACTTTACCTGTAGTCTCTTTCGGTTTCTGCAACTGACCTGTGAAGGACACAATCTTGGTACACTTTTATTTTTCACTTTTTAGCTCTTGGGCTATAATATAGCAGCATAAAGGTAAAACTATTCAAATAAAAGGTGTCTAAACAGCCTTGTTTTGAGAAATGCCGTAGTAATTTTTTTACATAGCTTTAGAGCTAGAACTTTTTAAAATGGTTTTTTCAATTTTATTTTGATGAAATCTTTGCATTATGTGAGGCTTGCGTCTTAAGCTTGATGTGGAAGCTAAAGTAATAAGGATTTTTATATTACTGCTTTCATATGCGAAATTGGTAAAAGGAATTATAAGAAATTCAAAAACTTGAGATTTGAGGCTTTTACCTTATTTTAGTGTCAGAACTTGTACGGAATCGTAGTCAAAAAAGAGCACGGGGAGGACCTGATTGAATTCTAAGAATGATTCAAAAACGCAAACCGTAGAGATCAAAAACGATAAGGCTTTGAGTTGATTACCCAGAATACCTTATTATAGTTTCTGCTTCAGAAGCCGACTTTTTGGTGCTACTGGAAATAATCTACATTCCAATCATTGTAACATGCAAAAAACTTTGAGGAATACCATAGCAAGACAAAAAAGTGGGCTCTGTATAAGTATAAGTTAATCAAATACTCAAAAGTCCTGAGGGCGCAGGTCTCGTTAGCCATTTTGATCCAGGCTTTGAAACAATACAGCTATATCATTCAGACCAGAAGCAAGCGTGATGAGGAGTCTAAGATCGTGGAGTGTAGTTAACATTACAGAAGTAATTTACTCATGTTAGTTGCTGCAGTCCCAAGAAATAGCTGGTTCCCGCAAACTCTTGTGGCTACTTTTTTAACTAATACCAGAAAATAACAGCAATTTGTGAGAAGAAAAAAGTCGTATATATATATATATATATATATATATATATATATATATAGGCAAAAATGCTAACTCAAGGCGGATACTGGATAAGACTGTTTTGGTCATTTCGCAACAACTGAAACACTGCTCACTCATTGCCTCAGATTCTTAATTTTTGCCAGTTAGAAGAGTCTAAGCCATTATACAGGAAGCCAGAAAAAAAACTGGAAAAATAAATTCCCCGTCAAGTTACATCTCGTAAAAGTTGTGAAGTGCCATTCTTGATATGCTTTCTTTTGTAAAATTGTAATTTACCGTGTTTTAAATAGAATTTGACGTCTTTATTTCGTTAGATTTACGATGTCCTGGACTTTTAAATGCATTAAGTAGTTCAATTTTGCTAGAAAATTTTTGTAGAAAACTGCAAATAGGATTTCAAACAAAAATAAGAAAAGTGAGTATATTAAGGTTTTTTGTTCTGCAAAAAGTCAAAATTTGGTGGTTGTATTTGTTTGGTGCCGGGAGTTACGAGCCGGAAAGTAGTATGGAACTGAAGAAACCTCAAAAAAACTAAAACTGAAGGAAATTGTTTTTTCAGTAATCCCGTGCATTTTATAGTATCGCTTCTGAAGGTCACGAAGAACGGCTTCGAAAGTCGATATGTTTCAATCGTTAAATCGTTAAATTTGTTATGAAAGTTATATTTCAGTTCAAAATATTAACAGTTCAATATTTACAAAATTGTGAAGAGTTATTTTCATTTTAGTGCTTTCTGCTTACGTGTGGTTTCACTAAAAGAATCAACAACGCATACTTAGCTTTAAAAAAACAGAGGCAACAGCGATACTCGATGTGACGTACATCCCTTGGAACAGCGGGTTTTGGGACAAAGAATGCGTGGAGCATAGAAATTTCTGTTTGGACATTTGGGGGGTTAGCGAAGAAAGAGATTCCTGAACTCGTAGAGTTGTGTCCTTAGTGCACGCGACAAAGTTTCAGTTGCACAACTGAACATGAGCTCGACTTACTATACTTTCGTGAAAAATGTGCTCTGGTTCTTTAGATTGGTTAAATTTAAAAACTTTGGGAAGAATCATAATCCAGAAGTTGACCAGGTAAGGCAGGAGGTTTTAGACCTCTTCGTGGCGCCAAAATTGCACTGGGTGCGCAATTTTAACGAGTACTGGAAGTGGAAAGTGGTGGGATAAAAGCAGCTTCCTATTACTAACTAGAATAATAAATTAATAATATTTTGGGGCGACGTATAACTTTTATACTAAATATTTAATGGTTGAGACATAATGGATTTTCATGTTTGCTAGTTGTAACCTTTTGAAGCATCAGAAAACGGTTCTGGCGCTGTAAAATGTACAGAATCAACGTAAAAACAAATTATCGCCAGTTGCAGAATCAGTGTGCAGTCATCGGGGTGAACAGTCGTGAGCATCATAAGTTTTTTCATTTTTGAGGATCCAGGAAATTTTAATTTATGCGAAATTGCTCTCAAGTTATTACTGTGAAGGCCTGTGAGAAAAACTTGTATTTTAACATCTGTTTAGTGACTTTTGTGTTCACTGCGATTGCCGAAAAGGGGCTTTGTTTTGCGAAGGTCTCCCGATGTCAGCGAGATAAGGGCATAAATTTTTTGAATTTTTGTGCCTTGAAGAATCTTTTTGAAATTTTAACAGCATCAGCTTTCGTTTCGTAGCGCACGAGAAGCGTTAAATGGGATTTGGACGTTTAGCTAAAAAGGCGTTATAAATTAAGATAATGTTAATTTGGGTTTGTATTTGTATGCAATGAAAGCATTGTTGAGGCGGATCATACAGTTGGTTCTGACAACTTAAATACTTTCAACGCTATCTAGAACACTTCAGACGCTGAAATAGAAATTTTTTTTAGTTGTACAAAAGTAAATTGCAAATATTTTTTATGAAATGCAGTTTTGTGATAGAAGCCTCTAACAGATACGATACGCCGGTTACCCGTTACTGGTTTTCGCGGTTTTTGAAAGTTGATTTTGCTGTTAGAGGTAGTCTCGCCGATGTAAAATGCGTTCGACTAATGTAGCGACAATGGGTTTTATTTATCATATGTTGATTTCTTGTACATTACTTTTAACTTTGTTAGAATGGCACTGTCGTACAATTTAGGTATTTAATAGAGCAAGAAAATCTGAAAAAATTGCTTGTTTAAGATGACGTCTTCATATTTCTCAAATTTTTTCTTATTGTTTCTACTCATCTGCGGAGTCGAAGGTTGTAGTATTCGTTCAAAAGTAGGAGTCGCAGGGAATTTAGCAGAGAGAAATATTGGATTTTGCTAAGATTGAGTTGAACTACAGGATGGGAAAATGGGTATATAGCGCAGCAACCTGGCAAATTCTAAGACTCTGGGGTAACATAAATTGGTGAAAAATTTGCTTCTAACTTCCCTGTTCGGTTTTTTTATCCGGATCCGGATTAGCAGTCAGCAGAGCTCTGAATGAATTTTCAGATTTTAGGTGAAAAAAGTTTCTCGCTGGCAGAAAGTAGCCCGTATATCTGCTTCAGGCGACTTATGCGTACGCCACTCATTCGTCTAGTCAAAATTCTATTGCGGGTTTTCTTTTACTAAGAGCGAGCGTTATTTCAAGTCTAGATTGTATCGCTCGACTGTTCTTTAAAAAGAACACCAGTTTTTTCTGTTTTGTTTCAGGTAATTTGATTACTCAGAATATGCATACATTGCAGAATTCCAAAACTATTTGCGGTCTCAGCCAGGTCATACAACGAGCGTGAATTTAATCAACTGCACTGTAGACTATTTACTTAGGCTTCAGGAGTCTGTAATGGATTTTTACTGGCACTATTCAAGCAAGGAAGTAATTGATGAAGGAGGCAAGGAGTATTTTTTGAGAGCAATTCAAGTCTGCAGTCAGGTTTTCAACACACTGACTGAAAGCATACAGGTTACTAACTAGAAATAATGATTATTGCACTGTATTCTGTGTGCCTGTTTTATCTTAGTATTTTGCTTAGGGTCCTTGTGTTGGTAACCAAATGACTTTGGCGAACTCACGTTTGTGGGATGCCATTAATGGCTTTTTTTTCCTGTTCGCGCATATGATGGAGAAGCTTTACAAGAATAGCACACAGCTGGAGCTTTTACGTGAATTTCTTAACCTACAGAAAGATATGATCGTTCTAATGCTTTCTATGTTGGAAGGTAATCTTGGCAGGCAACTTGACTACTGGTGACGAGTTTCTTGGTTTTTAAAGGGATTTTCAGGGAACGTTTTGAACGGACCCATTGGCAAACAGATGGTTGATGCTCTTGTAGAAAGTCAACAATGCGTTGAGATGATACTGAAATTTTCGGACATGTTTTTGAAACTGAAAGATTTAACCACTTCACAAGCCTTCCAAGACTTCGACACCAACAAGGATGGTTGGATTTCACCAAAGGAGTTCCAACGTGCTATGGAAAGCCAGAAGATGTATACCGTGTAAGCATAACTGAGTTTTATAAAACTTGTATCATTTGCGTTGGTTCATTTGAAATTTCATGCTTTGAAAAATTGTTATCTGAAAATTTATCGATTTAGCTTTTAACGGGTATTTTCACTTACTAGAAATCAGTCCTTAGGTTTTTTAAAACGATTAGGTTTATGCATAGGCTTTTATCCAACATTCTCCACAGTAAAATATTGTTTGCTAGTATCTTTTTTTTTACCTTTTATATGGCACAAATAAGAAAATGTTTGTTTTTTTGCAACCCAAAAATTTTTTTTGTTACGGTTTCGTAATCTTGCAAAAGATATGAGTAGAAAGTATCTGTGGAAGCGGTGGTGGTAGTTCCTGGTTTTTTGTGGCTCTTTTTAAAACCTAATCTTCTGGCTATTTCTAGTACTGAGCATGGCTGTCTTTTGTGACAACAGCTTCTGAAATGTTCAAGTTGTCTTCTTCAATCAACGAGAGTGTAGTAATGTTTCTCAAGTAACTGTAGTTGTCTTATTTTAAATTAAGCTTAGTGACAAGGAACGTTTCGTATTTCCCAATTTGCTGCGGTGCAGTGATATTTATTAGATTGTAATTTTTTGCCTAATTGTGATTTGACACACTTTTTTTCACCCCTGTGAAGTACAGTTGCGCAAAAGACTTTTAAAGCCAAAGTATGCAAAACTTTCTGTCAATTTTGTTTTTTTTTTCTTTTTTTTTTGTCATGCTAGTTCTGTTTATTGAAGCGTTGCTGGTAATGTAAATTCTGCTCTCCTAAAAACAAAGCAGATGCTCAAAGTTGTGAAGGGGTCAAGGTGAGCAGAGCTTTGCAAATTAGAATTATGATGTAATATCTCTTACGATCTGTAAATGGGTCCAGTAGAAGTTTGAGATCTTTAATGTATTACAGTAGCTCGTGAAGATATTTTTAGAGAAGAAATCACTTACTTGATGATGTGTACGGATGTGAATAACGATGGAAAAGTTGATTACATGGAATTCACAGAGAGGTTTCATAATCCTGCGAGAGATATAGGTAGAATTCATTGGAAGCTTAGTCGAGAAGACCAGTTTATATTAGTTTGTTCTTGAACATCTTTTTGAAAACGCTCTGTAAAGCATATAGGCACAGTCTTTAGCAGCATGATATATCATAGTATAAATATGGCAGAACTTGTCTGTAGATCTGGTTGTTTTTGTTCATGTTTTGCATTTTTTTTTCAGGCTTCAACCTTGCTGTTTTACTAATCAATCTGAAAGAGCATATCACGAATGATCCAAGGCTAGAAAAAATAATAGAAAAAGCCAATGCTCTGTTGGAGTATTTTGATCCGTATCTTGGCCGAATAGAGATCATGGGCTCAAGTAAACGAGTCGAAAAAATTTATTTTGAGATTCAAGAGGCTTGGTTGGAACAGTGGGGAAAACAGCAAATCAGGCACTTTGATTTTTTCTCAAGAACGAGATTTTGAAAGGAGCAGCGGTTTTTTTTTTTTGTTGCTTTTGTAGACAATCAGATAAATAACTGCAGGAATAAAGCTATGAGAGCACTTTAAAAAATTTTTTTTTTAGAGATTCGAAGAACTCGTTTTTATTCAATGTGCTACAAGATGACGGCGGTGACCAAGGGAAGCTGGAGGCTTTTATTAATTTCTGTGAAGACACTATTTTTGAGGTCAGAAACGAACTTATTTTTACAATATTTTTTTTGTTGAACTGCCTAGGTAATTTGTGTTTCAGATGCAACACGCAGCAGAAATAAGTGCTGGCGATGGCGCAGATTCAAAACTCGAGCGTGCATTAA